AGGTCTTTGATCCATTTTGAGTTCATTTTTATGTACGATTTGAGGTATGTAGGTGTCCAGATATTTCAGTTGAACAGAATGTTCTTTCCTCATTGCACCCTTTGCACCCTTGTCAAGACTCAACTGACTATAGATGTATGACTTATAATTCTATTCCATTGATCTATATGCCTATCCTTATGCCAGTGCCTCACTGTCTTGATTACTGTTGCTTTGTACTGCAAAGGTTTTAGAATTAGAAAATGTGAGTCTTCCAATTTTGTTATTCTTTTTCAAGACAGTTTGGCTATTCTCAGCCCCTTGCATTTCCACATAACTTTTAGGATCAACTTGTCCATTTCTATAAAAAAAAAAAAAAAGGGAAGTGGAATTTTGATAGGGATTTCAGTGATCTGTAGAACCATTTGGAGAGTATTATTACCTCAACAATATAACTTCCAATTTAAGAATATGAGATGTCTTTCTGTTTATTTAGAGTTTTTTTTTTTTTTTTTTTTTTTTTGAGACAGAGTCTCGCTCGGCTCTGTTGCCCAGGCTGGAACACAGTGTTGGCTCACCGCAACCTCTGCCTTGTGGGGTTCAAGCAATTCTCCTGCCTCAGCCTCCTGAGTAGCTGGGACTATAGGCATGCACCACCACGCACACATAATTTTTGTATTTTTAATAGAGATGGGGTTTCACCATGTTGGCCAGGCTGGTCTTGAACTCCTGACCTCATATGATCCACCTGCCTTGGCTTCCCAAAGTGTTGGGATTATAGACGTGAGCCACCACACCCAGCCTGTTTAGGTCTTCTTTAATTTCTTTCAACAATGTTTTATAATTTTTAATGTATAAGCATTGTACTTTGGTTAAATTCCTGTTTTACTATTTTCAGTGGTATTGTAAGTGGACTTCCTTTCTTAATTTTATTTTCAGTAATTCATTGCTGTTGCATAGAAATGCAACTGATATATTTACATCAATCATTTTGCAACCTTAATGAACTTATTAGTTCTAATTGTCTGTGTGTGTATAATCTTTAGAGTTTTTTAGTGCAAGATCATATCATCTGCAAATAGAAGTTTTACTTCTTCCTTTCTAATCTAGATACCTTTTATTTCATTTTCTTGCCTAATTACCCTGGATAGGACCTCCAGTGCAATACTGAGTAGAAGTGGCATGAGTGGACTTATTTCCAATCTTAGAGGGGAAGCTTTCAGTCGATCACCATTAAGTGTGATATATTCATTCATTCTTTCATTCAACAAATATTTACTGAGCAGCGAGTTACGCCACTGTACTTTGGGAATCTCTCGGTGCTTCTAATCTGAAGGGGTTGAGGTAAGGAGAAGGAGTAACCAAGAGGGATGTGAAATAAATACAAACAGACCAGGCGTGGCGGCTCATGCCTGTAATCCCAGAACTTTGGGAAGCCGAGACAGGTGGATCACCTGAGGTCAGGGGTTTGATACCAGCCTTGCCAACATGGTGAAACCCGTCTCTACTAAAAATACAAAAATTAGCCAGGTGTAGTGGTACACACATGTAATCCGAGCTACTCAGGAGGCTGAGGCAGGAGAATCGCTTGAACCTGGGAGGTGGAGGTTGCAGTGAACTGAGATTGCGCCACTGCACTCCAGCCTGGGCAACAGAGCAAGACTCCATCTCGGCAGTGGGGGGCGGGGGAAGAAAGAAATACAAACAATTAAGTAAGGTGAATTTAAATGGTGTGACAATACATGTGGAGAAGAAAATAAAGTAGGTCAAGTGATCTTGACTCAGGAAGGTGTCTTAAAAGAGGTAGTATGAGCAGAGGCATGAATGAAGGGAGTCAGCCATGCACACATTCTAGCAAAGTTTAACGTGGAGGAAGGAGCAACAGAAGCAAAGCCCTTGAGGCTGGAATGAACTTGTTGTAAGAATGAGATGGTAGCTGAGTGAATGAGGGTGCCAGAGGCAGGCCAAGAGCTAGAGGAGGGAGGCTGGGTCTCCCTGGGTTTAATGCTGCTCACCCATTATAAAGTGTTAAAACTTGAACTTTTTTTTGTGTCAGTTTTTATAGTAAGGTTACATTGAGGCTGTTATAAACTAAAGAACATTTCTAATCTAACAGTGTTCTAAATGGGTATATTTTAAGGAAAGATAGTCAAGTGCCATATGGCATTCTTTGGATACATGTAATTCCAATTAGAATTAATTATACGTATTCTCTCTTTTTCTTTAAAAGAAATAAGCTTGGCTGGGTGCCGTGGCTTATGCCTGTAATCCCAGGAATTTGGGAGGCCGAGGTGGGCAGATCACTGGAGTCCAGGAGTTCGAGACCAGCCTGGGTGAAACTCCATCTCTCTAAAAAGTTAAAAAAATTAACCAAGTGTGGTGGCAAGCGCCTATAGTCCCAGCTACTCAGGAGGCTGAGGTTGGGACCAGGGGGTGGGGGAGGTGGATGGCGGGAAATTGCTTGAGCCCGGGAAGGCAGAGGTTGCAGTGAGCCAGGATAGTGCCACTGCACTCCAGTCCAGGTGACACAGTGAGACTCTGTCTCAAAAAAAACAAAAACAAAAACAAGCAAAAAAAGAATATTAAAAAAAAAAAAAAAAGTAACCTGTTTTTAAAATCGTCTCTAGGAAATACATTCAAAGATTTCACATATAAAAGATGTAAAAAATATAAATATATAGATGAGGACGTTTTCATCCTTTCTCCCTGCCCTCTTTCCCATAGGTAGCTTCTGTTTATTGGTTTCTTGATATCCCTTGGAGGTATGTTATGCACATGAGAAAATAGATTTTATATTTATTTTACCCTTATTTAAAACCTCAAGATTAAAAATATTAATTTTAAAATTCTCCAGCTTTTCTAATAGAATTTGTGTACTACTTTTAGTTCAAATAGAAAACTTAATATTACTAATTTTCCATACTCTTACACATTGACTTTATGCCATACAAAATACTTATTATGCCTCCGTTATTCCTAGTACACATTTTAATTGTGATTAGTGGTTCTGAGGTCTGACTTCTCCGTTAGATTGCCTTGTTTGTCTCTGGGCTAAAGTAGCACTCAGCGTTGGACAATTAAATGATCGAATGTGAGAAGCACTTTTACACAGTTCCTGAAAGAGCTCACCATCTTAATTAAACTGCTTCAAATTGCCATGTCATTTCTAGTCCCCTTAATTCTTTTTTAAGAAATTGGAAAGATTAAAGGGTAAGAAAGTGATAGGGCTTAAAGGAAAACACTCTTTTGGGAAAAAAGTTAAGAAAAGTAACTCTGGTCCTCAGCTGGGAATGTCCTTACCTTGAGTTCCGAGGGGGCCACTCCACCAGAACTCCATAAACCTTGGCACAGAATGGAAGCAATGAAAGATGACTCCAAGGTTTTTTTTTTTTTTTTTTTTTTCATTCTTAAGGGATCCAAACCACATTTTTCTTAATCACACTGATAAACGGACAAGACATGTTCACGGCTTTTCACTCACTCCTGAGGTGGAACCTTGGACAGGAAATATAGGAAGGAGGCTGTGCTGGAGCATCATGGGTAATTTTTGACTTTTGCTTCAGGTTTGCTTCAAGGTGAGCAGGAAAGATGCATGCCGCAGGCAGAAGAGGGCATGGTGGTGCAGGCACTCTGCCTGAGCATGCCCTCCCTGTCCTGCTTCTTGTCTTCCTCACCCTCACTGTCCTGCCTGCTCCTCACCTACTGGCCTCTCAGTGGACTCCTGCCAGTGGTTGCTTCTCCCTGGACTTTGAGGTTCAGAAGTAGGGCACAGGAGAGTGCAGAGCTGGAAGAAATGTGTACAGGGTGCAGGGAAAGATGCGTGTCTCAAGGTGGGTGCTCATAGGATCCCCTGGCAAAGGCACAGGAGGAGGGAGCTGTCACAGGACCATGTAACCCTGAGACCGTGGGTGCCTCCTAAGAGGAAACAGTGTCTTTATTCCTGTGCTCTTTTAGGGAGAGAAACAAAGGATGCATTAGCTCCGTAGGGACAAGCAAGATGGCCTCACTAAAGCACAGCAGAGCCCTGGGGTGACTTCGATGGGTTTGCTAAAGCCGGACGTCCTTCCTAAGCCTAGCCAAATCCAAGAGGCATTTTCCCAGGAGGGAAGGGGAGTGCGGAGGCCTTATTCTGCAAACATTGCAGCCATTTTAAAGAAACAATTCCAGATTTTATATCTTTTACCTGCCAGGAAATTGCAAATGAGGAAATAAGGAAATAAGTTTGGAGCTGAGTGGAATATGGCCAACTGAGTTAGAGGATTTTCTGGTTGCTTGATTTACGAGGTTTGTCATTTCAGGAATCACTTTGAGCATAAGCTGTTGCTCTCTGGTCATTATCTTTTGTTTGTGTTTCCTTAATCATGTCACCTTTTGAGAGATTCCTTTCCCTCAGCTTTCTTCATATTTTCCTTCCTTTTCCATTTGGGCTTTCTTTGGAATTATAATTTAAATAGAGGGAGGCGCTGAAACCCTTTCTGACTTGTTTATTCTTTTTTATAAACAACATCCCTTTGTGAGTTTAGTCAGAGATTTGCACTCTTTACTAATCAACACCAAAATAAATAGACTCTTAAAACTGTCAGTGACAGGGGCCAGTTCTGCAGCCCGAGTCCTGAAGGGCCAGGCCAGATGGCAACACCAGGCCCCTAGCACACATAATGCGTGTCTGTAGCTCTTGGCTTCAGCAGCATGGGCAGCTGACTGCTTTTTAAATGGCTTCTGTGGGGAGGGAGCAGATTTTTCACTATCCATTTGTTCTTTGGGCATCTCCAGGAATAAACCCTAAGGTGGCACAAGTGCTACTTGACCGTGGTTAAAACTTGCCGTGTACTGGCCGAGGCACAGGCTAGAAATTCTGAACTCCTGCTTTGCCACCAGCATGTTCTGTGATTGCATTCTGATCATGAAGCTTGCCACTAGGCTCTCTGGTGTATAAAGTGGAGGGGTAGAGTGGCCCATTTTTCTGAATTTTTAAGTACTGCAGCAGGAGGTATTGCACACATATGTGGGCACTTGAGGATATGAGTTCATTTTGCTCACACCAGACTGACTGGACAGAACCTCCCTTCTCTTCAACGGGATATTATGTCAACACTGTTGAGGTGCGAAGAGAAAGAACATTATTGCCTTCTGTGCAGCAGTGGTTTGCTTCGCTCTTGGGACAGTTTGAGTGTAGCTGAAATATTGTGCTCTGAACTCCCATATAGATAACTAATCGATTGACTGTCTGGACCTCTGAAAGGGGAATTGGGAGAGATTCTGATATGGGAGCTGCCATCTTCCTCTCCCCCAGCAAGAGATTGTTTTTTGTCCTTTAAGCTCATGAGACTATACTGCAGGGATCTCCTAGGTGTGCGGAAGACAGAATAACACACTGGACCAAATAAATTGTTACGTGCAACCAATATGTAAACAAGGATCTCTCAGTTATGTCACAGAAAGAGCCTAGAACAAGCCAGGTCCTCCACAGGATTTGCAGACCTTAAGCCTTTGTGGAGAGGATTTTTGATGGTCAAGTAAAATCTTAGGAGAAGTTGTTTTTTGAGAGAAGATTTGGTTTAATGAAGAGGAGACAGCCACACATGATAGGTAGGGAGGTAACCCCTTGGACTTTTGTATATTGCATGTAGAACCTTCTCCATTCAAACACACTTCTTTGGACATTGCAGATGGGTGTTAGAATGAAATTGTTTTATATTCTGTTGTGTTTATCAGGGCACCCTTTTTTCTTTTTTCTTTTGATTCCTATTGCTGCCCAGTTGCCTTCCTGCCCCATGCAGCATGGCGTGGCTCTGTAGTTGTGTGCTAAAGTGCTGGGTGGGAACCAGCTCGGCATTAGCCTGTTTACTGCTTCTCTACACATTACAGCTTCCTTCCTTGAGACAGTGTTTGAACAGACCGAAAACATGTTTTTGGATATCATCCAGGGTTTGGCTTCTGCTTCCCAATAATGCCATAAAAATGCTCTGTCAAATAAATTCTCAGGAACCGAAAAGAACACATTCCCTGCTCCATATGATTGTAGATAATGGAGGCAGGCTTCAGCTGACCACCTGGCTTGGTGCCCATGGCTTAGGGAAACCAAATCGCACAACATCTCTTGGCAGTGCTTTCTAGCGATCAGAGTTAATTCTCTGCATGTGATGGACGAGCTTTCCATTTAAGGAAATTTTCACAGAGCATTTATCTCCACTGGGGCTTTTGGATTCCATAAAATATTATCTTTGCTTGTCCTGCCTGGTTGCCAATTAGCATACTATATGCAATGAAGTTTTTGAGTCCTAGGGTCAATTTTCTCTTCAGTAAGCTTCCAGAGTTAACTGTGGAAGGAATATTTCTTTGATTTGGGGTGTGTGTGTGTGTGTGTGTGTGTGCACGCGTGCACATGTGCTAAGAGGAATGCTTCCCTTTCCCAGCCTGGATATTACAACATCCTTACCCTTCAGGGTCCCAGCTGGAAAGAGATGGCCTATTCAAATTAGGGAGTGTTTATTTACAAAGGGACTATTTTAAAAGGTGTGAATGTGTGGGGCAAAATGCTAGGGATGGTGTAGTAATCCAGTGGAGCTGTTACTACCCCTAGACCAGAAGAGAAGAAAGGAAGGGCCAGTTACCAGAACCTAGAAGGAGAGAGGCAGATAGAGAAAGAAGTCTGCTTCCAGAGTGACCTTCGGTAGAGAGATTCATGTAGCCAGGCTAAGCAGCCTGTCAACCGAGGCCATGCACTCTCCTTTTTCCCTCTCACTCCTGCCAGGGCTCCCCATTGGCTGAGCCCAATCAGAAACCAGAAGACAAGTATCCTTTGACTTGATCCTCACAGGTCAGCCTCCTAGGGCAGAGAGCAGGACTGAGAAGGCAGCGTGGATTTGAAGGGCAAACGGAAGGTATCTGGCACATATCCCAATGTAGGTAGGTGTCTAATTACTTCTAGGAGAGGCATAACAATCTCAGTAGAAAACTTAAACTCACTTTTATTTTTAAACAGTTTTATTGAGATATGATTGACATACAATAAACTGTACACACTTCAAGTATACATTTCGATAAGCTTTGATAGGTATATACCTGTGAAACCATCACCACATCAAGATAGTGAACTTACCCATCATTCTCAAGATAAACCCACTTTAACTTAACACTTAAGATATTCCATGTTGTTCTTTTAGGAGGATGTGGAAAGAGATCATGCAGTAAGGCAATAGCAGGTGCAATTCCTAACTTACTGAAGTTAGTGGGTTACTGAATGAAGTTACTGCTCAGGGTTACAAAGCTCATAAGTGATAAAGCCAGAATGGGATTTAATTCTCTCAGCCTTATGCTACTCTGCTTTAAATTATAAGGCAAATAAAATACAAACACTTATAAAAAATCATTTATTAGCAACACATTTCTTGCTCTCCACCTTACAGCTGATGAAGGGACCAGCCATGGCCTGGGTTGAGAACTGGCACTCTTACCTCCCTTGTCCCCAGAGCCTGTTTATTCTATAAATCAAGAGCTCCCAGTACTGGGGAAGGCTGGTGTCTGGTGCAGAGTTGAATTTGAGACCCCAGTCCCACTTCCTACAAAGAAGAGCACCTCCCTGGCTAAGCCAGAAAAGGAGGCAGGAGGTGTCAAGTTTTAGGGAAGGGTGGGACTGGGTAGACAAGGAGTGATACCCTGTCATGCCGCAGCAGGGTCTGCAGTGGCACCCACCAGCACAAGAGCTGTGACAGGGCCACTCTGGGTTCTGGGCTGGCCTTTTGAACTTGTCTAGTAAGCTCAGGTCTCAGGGCCTTTGAAGTTTTTATTCCTTAGGTCTGGATTGCTCTTACCCTGGATTTCTCCAAGTCTCACCACCTCACTTTATTCTGGTCACTGCTCAAATATCTCCTCTTCAGAAAAGGTTTCTTTCTTTCTTTCTTTTTTTGAGATAGGATCTTGCTCTGTTGCCCAGGCTGGAGTGCAGTACAGTGGAGTGATCACAGCTCACTGCAGCCTTGACCTCGCAGGCTCAAGTAATCCTCCCACCTCAGTCTCCTCAGTGGCTGGGACTACAGGCACAGGCCACCATGCCCTGCTAATTATTTTTATTTTTATTTTTAGTAGAGATGAGATCATGGCATGTTGCCCAGGCTCTCCTGGAATTCCTGGAGTCAAGCTATCCTCCTGCCTTAGCCTCCCAAAGTGTTGGGATTACAGGGATAAGCCACCCCGCCTGGTCCAGAGAGGCTTTCTTTTCCACTCTATCGCAAGTGCCACCTCTGTCACTGTCTCCCTCTCCTTCTTTCCTTTTCCTCATGGCAGTGATCACTATTGGACATTAGAGTATCAGTTCTCAAACTTTTTGGTCTTAGGATCTTTGCACTTGCTTAAAAATTATTGAGGACCCCAGGGAGCATAGATTTAAGTGGGTTGTTACCATTCAAAATTTGCCATAAGTTAAAACAAATTATAAATTTTTTTATTCAATGAAAAATAGTAATAAACCCACTATATTAACATGAATAACTTATGAAAAAAGCTCTATTTTTCAAAACCAAATAGTTAAGTGAGAAGAATGGCATTGTTTTATATTTTTTAACATCTTTTCTATTAATAGAAGTTTGCTATGTGGTTGTATCTGCTTCTGCATTTAACCTGTTATGATATATTATTTTTGGTAAAAATTGAAGAAGAAAAATCTGGCCCCACACAGATGTGTAGTTGGAAAAGGGAGGGCTATTTTAATATCCTTTTCATATAATCGTGAGTATTCAATTCAATATTACACCAAAAGTTAACAAGTGGTCATTGCTTAAAGTTTAGTTGCTGGATGGACCTTATGCCCCGGGCATACTTGTGTGAGCCACTCCCAAGCAGCAGTCAGATGGCCGCTTTTTAAAAGGAAAAGTTGAACACAGTCTTTTGAGATTTTGATTTACATAAAGTAGAATAAAAAATGGAAATAATCATTTTATTATACTGTTAAATAACTCAGCCAGGCATGGTGGCTCACGCCTGTAATCCCAACACATTGGGAAGCCAAGGCGGGCAGATCACCTGAGGTCAGGAGTTCGAGACCAGCCTGGCCAACATGGTGAAACCCCATCTCTACTAAAAATACAATAAATTAGTTGGGCGTGGTAGTGGGCGCCTGTAATCCCAGCTACTCAGGAGGCTGAGGCAGGAGAATCACTTGAACCTGGGAGGCGGAGGTTGCAGTGAGCTGAGATCACGCCATTGCACTCCAGCCTGGGCAACCAGAGCAAAACTCCTTCTCAAAACAAAAACAAAAACAAAAGCACTTGTAAAAAAATCACCAGATTTTCAAAGATTACAGAAGTGTCTTCTAATGAAACACCAACTTCTTCTGTGCCCAAAATTGGAACTTTTTTCTTGATAGATTCACACCACATATTATTGCTACTTTTTCTGAGGCAAGAAGTAACAAGTTAATGGTTTCTAACATAGTGCCTTGATAGATGTTGAAAATATCTGTTTGTTGGAATGGTTTTATTTGTCTTTCAAATCCTGTTTATGTCCACTACTTTATTTGAATAAGAGAATTCTGCCTTTCAGAAACATCCTCAAGCCAGTACAGGAATACAGTTAAACATCCAAGTCAACAGATATGATCAGTAAGGTAAAGGCCATTTTATCTGCTTGTTCACAATATTTCAGTGTCATTAATCTATAATTTTATGTTTATCTCTGTAAGATCCGTACAGGTTTACAGCACCAAATAATCTGGCCCTGTCAGCCCAGCTGTGTTCCTTTGGATGAAAAACTCCTGCCCCAGCTCCTAAAAGAAGCAGGTTATACTACCCATATGGTCGGAAAATGGCATCTGGGAATGTACCGGAAAGAATGCCTTCCAACCCGCCGAGGATTTGATACCTACTTTGGTAATGGAAATGCACATGTTTCTTTAACAACTCAGACTGACTGCAGCCATGTCATAAAACACACCCAAGTGCCATTAAGTGAAATAACTGGAAATTTGAACACAGAGTGAATCAGTCGGCACTGCCATGGGGCTGCTTTCTGATGTTACCTCTGTAAGCGGGGCTCTGTGCTGACCTTATGGTGGGCAAGCCCATTACCTTTGTCGGAGTTCTAAATGCCACCTTAGGGCCTTGCAAGAGTTTACTATCCACGTTGGAGACCGCTGTACTCTCAGAGACCCTTATTACCAAAAAGGGACATGGATTGACTTTTTTTTTTTAATTCCAGGCAAAACCTAATGTAAGAATATTTCCAGGCCAGGTGCAGTGGCTCACGCCTGTAATCCCAGCACTTTGGGAGGCTGAGGTGGGTGGATCATGAGGTCAGGAGATCGAGACCATCCTGGCTTACACGGTGAAACTCCGACTCTACTAAAAATACAAAAAAAAATTATCTGGGCAAGGTGGCGGGCACCTGTAGTCCCAGCTACTCGGGAGGCTGAGGCAGGAGAATGGTGTGAACCTGCGAGGCGGAACTTGCAGTGAGCCGAGATCGCGCCACGGCACTCCAACCTGGGTACCAGAGCGAGACTCTGTCTCAAATAATAATAATAATAAATTTTTTTAAAAAAGAATATTTTCTTCACAAAGACTTGGTGTGTTTTTTTCTCCCTGTGGAATGTATTCACAATTTTTTCTTTTTTTCTGAAGGGGGTGGGGGAAGACTCTTCCATTGGCGTCCTTCCATCTGTGAAATCTGTTTTTGCAATCACAAAGTTGAGGAAGATAGCTTTTTAAAAATAAAAGAAAATGAGGAGGCCAAATAACAAATGGTAATAAGAAGGTTAAGAAGAAATAATCATAAATATTTTATAAACTTGATAGCCCTATGAAACTAAATGTGAAACCTAGAGTTTGTTTTAAAATATGTCCTCTTTAAACCTGTAACAACCTGTGCCTTAATTAATAACCTATGTATCTCGCCAGTAGCTGTATATCTTTCTTTCAAGTTCTTTTTATAGTGAGCTATCTGTCCAGCTATTTAGCTACTTACCTGCCTCCCATCAGTTTATTTGTTTATTTACAACCCACCATAGCCAAAAAGGAACGCATATTGAACATAAAAAGTTAAAATAGGATTAAATAATCAGGATGAGTAGAGAAAGATGGAATAGGTTAATGACGTCAAATTACAGAAAAGTTGCATTGCTCTAGGCTGGCTTCATATTCAACTCCGAGATTCGAAATTTCTTTTTTTTTTTTTTTGGAGACGGAGTCTTGCTCTGTCTCTCAAGCTGAAGTGCAATGGCACAATCTCATCTCACTGCAACCCCCTGAGTAGCTGGGATTATAGGCATGCACCAACACACCTGGCTAATTTTTATACTTTAGTAGAGACAGGGTTTCACCATGTTGGTCAGGCTGGTCTCGAACTCCTCACCTTGTGATCCACCCGTCTTGGCCTCCCAAAGTGCTGGGATTACAGACGTGAGCCACCGCGCCCAGCCCGAGATTTGAAATATATTTGTCCAAAGAGGGAGAAAGAAAGGAAAAGATTATAAGAGTTACATTATTTACAAGATAAATGGAAACCAGATGTTCAGGAAAAGCAAAAGCATTTTCTGGCTCTTAGGCCTGAGAGAAATTTCTCCTTTGGGAAAAGGAGAAGGTAAGGTGGACAACATCCTTAAAAATGTCATTTTAATAATAAAGTGGTGGTTTTCTTGTAGATGTTTTGAGGTATTTTCTTCTGTTCAAGCTAGGGCCAGAGCACCAAAGTGCAATTCAGTAAAAGTAATTATATGGGGGCCAAAACCATGTAGCTGAAGCACATGACTCTGTAATGCCTCATTGGATTCAGGGTTAAAATCAAGATGCAAGGATGACAGACAGGAGGGTGTGTGTGCCCCACTCTCATCCAGGTCTGCCAGCAGACCACACTACTCAATCTTAGCTTTTTTTTTTTTTTAAATGAACCTGGATGTATTCTCAGTACCTCAAATAGCTGTTAAAAATTAAGCTTGGATGTAAGATCACTTTATCATCTTGGAAATTCTAGAGGAACAAACAGGTACATCCTTAGAAATTTTTCAGTCAGGCCTTTGCTAAAAGATGGGTCAATATCTATACTCTGGGAAGAGGATGGACTGTAGATATTTTGAATTTTTATTAAAACCAAGTTAGGTACTTAAATACTCGACTAGACAGAAGGTAGAAATGATATCCTTTTATTTATTTATTTATTTAATTATACTTTAAGTTCTAAGGTACATGTGCACAATGGGCAGGTTTGTTACATATGTATACTTGTGCCATGTTGCTGTGCTGCACCCATCAACTCATCAGCACCCATCAACTCATCATTTACATCAAGTATAACTCCCAATGCCATCCCTCCTCCCTCCCCCCTCCCCATAATAGGCCCCGGTATGTGATGTTCCCCTTCCAGAGTCCAAGTGATTTCATTGTTCAATTCCGACCTATGAGTGAGAACATGTGGTGGTTGGTTTTCTGTTCTTGCAGTAGTTTGCTGAGAATGATGATTTCCAGCTTCATCCATGTCCCTACAAAGGACATGAACTGATCGTTTTTTATGGCTGCATAGTATTCCATGGTGTATATGTGCCACATTTTCTTAATCCAGTCTATCACTGATGGACATTTGGGTTGATTCCAAGTCTTTGCTATTGTGAATAGTGCCGCA